TCTGCTGGTTCCAGCCCAAGGAGATGGACCTGCCCCAGCCCTTCTCCCTCCGGCCCAGCCCCCTCCACACAGGCCCTGCCACAGGGACGCAGCCTGAGCCCACCTGCTCACAGGCCCCTAAACCCGCTGGCCCTGCCCACCCAGGGAACACGTCCTGCCCGGCACGGCTTCGAACACGCCCTGTGGGTGTGGCCCCACGGAGCAGCCTCCATGCCCCCAGCAGGCTCGGTCCAGGTCCCTCACAGCGTGGGGCAGGGAGACCACACACAGGCAGTGGCACCGCCACGGGGTAAGCCACGGGGCGGGGGGCTGAGGGGCAGGCTGGCCAGCCCCCGCCCCGAGGAGGAACATGCCTGTGCTGGAAGGGCCAGCGACTTGAGGTCCCACTACAGGTGGGCACACGAGCCCCGAGGGGGCAGCCCACACGCTGGACACGAAGCCCGTGGCACGTGGGACTCCAGGCCCGTGGCCCCTGCCCGGCAGCGGGGGCTGGGACCGGGGGTGGGGCAGGGCAGGGAGGTACTCACGTCATAGGCACCCGCCTTGATCTGTTGGTACAGTTTGTGCTGGTCCTCGTCCCAGAAGGGAGGGTAGCCCACGAGCAGGATGTAAAGGATCACGCCTGGCGAGAGCAGAGTCGGGTTACGTGGTCTGTGCCTCTAAACACTCCCCCACGGACGCCTGTCTGTGCCTCTAAACACTCCCCCACGGACGCCTGTCTGTGCCTCTAAACACTCCCCCACGGACGCCTGTCTGTGCCTCTAAACACTCCCCCACGGACGCCTGTCTGTGCCTCTAAACACTCCCCCACGGACGCCTGTCTGTGCCTCTAAACACTCCCCCACGGACGCCTGTCTGTGCCTCTAAACACTCCCCCACGGACGCCTGTCTGTGCCTCTAAACACTCCCCCACGGACGCCTGTCTGTGCCTCTAAACACTCCCCCACGGACGCCTGTCTGTGCCTCTAAACACTCCCCCACGGACGCCTGTCTGTGCCTCTAAACACTCCCCCACGGACGCCTGTCTGTGCCTCTAAACACTCCCCCACGGACGCCTGTCTGTGCCTCTAAACACTCCCCCACGGACGCCTGTCTGTGCCTCTAAACACTCCCCCACGGACGCCTGTCTGTGCCTCTAAACACTCCCCCACGGACGCCTGTCTGTGCCTCTAAACACTCCCCCACGGACGCCTGTCTGTGCCTCTAAACACTCCCCCACGGACGCCTGTCTGTGCCTCTAAACACTCCCCCACGGACGCCTGTCTGTGCCTCTAAACACTCCCCCACGGACGCCTGTCTGTGCCTCTAAACACTCCCCCACGGACGCCTGTCTGTGCCTCTAAACACTCCCCCACGGACGCCTGTCTGTGCCTCTAAACACTCCCCCACGGACGCCTGTCTGTGCCTCTAAACACTCCCCCACGGACGCCTGTCTGTGCCTCTAAACACTCCCCCACGGACGCCTGTCTGTGCCTCTAAACACTCCCCCACGGACGCCTGTCTGTGCCTCTAAACACTCCCCCACGGACGCCTGTCTGTGCCTCTAAACACTCCCCCACGGACGCCTGTCTGTGCCTCTAAACACTCCCCCACGGACGCCTGTCTGTGCCTCTAAACACTCCCCCACGGACGCCTGTCTGTGCCTCTAAACAATCCCCATGGCCGCCTGTCTGTGCCTCTAGACGCCCCCAACGGATGCCTGTCTGTGCCTGTAGACGCCCCCAACGGACGCCTGTCTGTGCCTGTAAACACCTCTCACAGACGCCTGTCTGTGCCTCTAAACACTCCCCCACAGACGCCTGTCTGTGCCTCTAAACACTCCCCCACGGACGCCTGTCTGTGCCTCTAAATTCCCCCCATAGTCGCCTGTCTGCGCCTCTAAACACCACCCACGGACGCCTGTCTGTGCCTCTAAACACTCCCCCACCGACGCCTGTCTGTGCCTCTAAACACTCCCCCACGGACACCTGTCTGTGCCTCTAAACACCTCTCACAGCCACCTGTCTGTGCCTCTAAACACTCCCCCACGGACACCTGTCTGTGCCTCTAAACACTCCCCAACAGACGCCTGTCTGTGCCTCTAGACACCCCCCACGGACGCCTGTCCACGCCTCTAGACACTCAGCCAACGGATGCCGGTTGGAGCTGAGCACCTAGCCTGCTTGGGCACTGCTGTAAAACCCACAAGCTGCCTTTCTGCATCCTTAGGTGCCTAAACCCCTTGGGCAATCTGTCCTTAATTGATGCCCAAGGAGAGCTTGGCAGAGCTGGGGTTTGAGCCCACCTTAGGAGGCAGAAGCCGGGGGCTCAGCCCAGAGCAGGGGGCAGGCGCCCGGCAGACACGGACCTGTCACTAACGGGGAAGGGCTGAGAGGAGCCACGAGAATGACCACGAGAAAACACCCCGGGCCCCGCGCACGCGCCCTTACCGCACGCCCAGATGTCCACGGGTTTGCCGTAGGCCTCTTTGCGCAGCACTTCGGGCGAGAGGTAGCCGGGGGTGCCAGCGAAGCCTGGGGAGAAACCACAGAGCTAAGGCCGTGTCGGCGCGGCTGCCGCGGGCCGGGGGGCGGGGGGGGGGGGCC